AAAGATATTTTCCATGATTTATTTATAAAATTTTATAAATAGATCATGGAAAATATCTTTTCAGAGGATAGATCTAAATAGATTAGAATTTAATAGTTCAAGCTAATCAGTTAGAACCTGTAATTACAGATTAATGAAAAAACTTGTCGATATAGTACCCTGCCCCATAGCTACTCAAGGTGGCAAGAGCAATTAGAAAAGAAGTATAAATAGATTTCCAATACATTATGAAAATATATTTACCCAAAAATAACTGAGTAAATTTAACTAAATATCACTTACAGACTTTAACTTGATTTTGCTAAAAGATGTTAAATTTATACATTATAACTATGCAGATCTGAGCTGATGTGGTTCCACACCAAAATGTATAAAGGGTTAATTATTAGAAAGAGAAAATAGGATAACACCAAAAGGAAAAAAAAAACCCACTACCATTGAGTCAATGTGAACTCACAGGGACCCTTCAGGACAAAGCAGAACTGTGTACTAGGAACTGTCTACTTGGATACTGTAGTGTTTCCAAGCCTGTAAATCTTTACAGAAGCAAACTGCCTCATCCTTCACCTGTGGAGTGGCTGGTGGGTTACAACTGACCACCTTTTGATTAGTAGCCAAATTCTTTAACCACTACACCATGATAAAAATAAATACACCTACTCTTCACGTATTGACTATCTTGTGATCTGACATTTCACATTTATGACAACTTTGAAAAAATTCTCAGGTAGCGCCATTGATGATCTAGGCCCCACACAAGGCCATGGCCAGGCCTGTGGTGGTGGTCTCCGTGGCCCACTGCAAATATACCAGAGGCCCCAGCAATGACTGGCCCACATAAGGAACAGCGGCAGACTGGCTGTGGGACACCTTTTCCCTTTGTCTGCAACATCTTGGTCTGCTCATGGAGGGTGTGGGTGATAATGGGATGATGTGAGGTTAAAGATGGGCAGGGGAGGCCAGTCAAGGGCCCAAAGGCCTGAAAAGGTTGGTAGGGGAAGTAGGAAGGGGAAGAGAGAGAGGGGGCCATGCAAGGCTGCCTGGCCAGGATAAACAGAGGAAAAGTGGGACCCCAGCCCAGGGTGGGTGGCAGGAGGTGGCAGGTAGAAGATGAGCAGTGTCCCTGCCCAGGGCGGGTGCTGGGAGGTGGCAGGCTCAGGCAACACCTGACTACCACCACCACTCCCCTTAACCCTCAGAGGCTCTGTGGTGGTCGGGAAGGTGTGGTGGTGATGCGGGACCTGCCAGACCACATGCACCCCAAAACAAGCCAGGGGCACCCAGTGAATGGTAAGCAACCAGGGGAGAGGTGACTAGCCTCAAGACGGGGCACATCCCACAACTCTCACATAACACCAATTTCACATAACGACCTAAGTCTTTGGAACCTCACCATGTCAATAAGTAAGGAGCTCATGTTGATTAAAAAGGGAACTATCTTTTTTATTTCCCCCCATGCTTATTATGAGCTGAGTGCCCCTAGGTGGTACAAATAGTTGACATATTTGGCTGCTAACCAAAAGGCTGGAGGTTCAAGTCCACCCAGAAGTAGCTTGAAAGAAAGTTCTGGCAATCAATTTCTGAAATATCAGCCATTGAAAACCTCATGGCTCACTTTCTACTCTGACACACACTGGGTCAGCATGCATGAGTCAGAATTGTCTTAATGGCAACTGGTTTGGTTTTTTGGTTTATTGTGAACTAGGTACCTTGCTAAGTGCTTTTGATACACTGTCTCATTTAATCCTCACAGTCACTCTTTATACAGAAGGTATCACTGATATTTTGAAGATAAGATAATAGAGAAACAAAACTAAACTATACTAGATTTATTTGAATACAAACTCTGAAAAACACAAAAATAAAAATCATATATCCTATTTCATTCAAAAGATACACTCCTGAGAAGTTGCAGGTTAATTTCAGGTATCTTAAGGCTACAGTCAAGATAAAGAGCCCCTTCAATATGTGCTTCCTCCATGATACAAATTACTCATTACTTAATTATATTTAGGCGCTCTGGTGGCTTAGAGGATAAAGCATTTGGTTGCTAACCAAAAGGTTGATAGTTCAAATCCACCAGCTGCCCCACAGGAGAAAGATGAGGCAATCTGCTTCCAGAAAGATTTACAGCCTTGGAAACCCTATGGGGCAGTTTGACTCTGTCCTATAGGGTTGCTATGAGTCAGAATCAAATGGCTGGCAGTGGATGGTAATCACATTTATTTAGACACTATGAATTGTCACAGTGTTCTTAAAGCAGCACATGCTAAAGCAAATAGCTTATTATTTAATCTGATACAAATAACAAATATTTACATAAACTTCCAGTTGCAGAAAACTGAGTTTTTAGAAGCACAGACCTCATTACACCATAAAACTCTACTGTATGTTGTCCGTATATTGGTTTAACTTTTGTCCAGTTGATTCCAACAGCTGGAACTAAGTTGTTTGATCATCTGACTTGCCAGTTTTATGTACAAGAAGCTAAGTAAGATATCCATATTTAACTGATTTTTTAAAATTTCGAGTAGCCCTTTTGTTTTCCCTCAGCATGTTCACTTCTATGCAAATTTCAACTATGATTCAAACTGAAGTATCCTTCAAAATCACATTCAAATAAGAAATTTTAGTATACCACCATATTCCTGCTTTCCTAAACATATGTTGTTGTTGTTATTTGTCATCGAGTTGGCCCTGACTCCTAGCGACCCCTCCTTGGGTTTCCGAGGCAGTTATCACTACAGAAGTAGGATTGCCCAACCTTCCTTCCAAGGAGTGGCCGGTGGGTTTGAACCGCCAGCCTCCTGGTTAGCAGTCAAGTGCCTTAGGCACTATGCTACCAGAGCTCCTTCCTAAACATATACATATACGTATATATATATGTTGTTAATTTTTGTCAAGTTACAATAGCACACATAGTGTGGGTTTTTGTATTTTTTTTTTACTAATTTAGAGATTACATTTTAAAAATAATCAAATAAATAAATCAAAATTTAAATTTACAAATACCAGCTGTTTCTTTTATAAAAGCTGAGGCTTCCTTATCCAGTCAAAAAAAAGAATAAATTATATATGAAATGTCCTGTCAGCCCAGTGAGCAGCATGCCAGTCTCCAATGGATCTATTTCTTAAGCTCATCCTGGGGTGAACCCTCATAAAATAGTAAAGCAGATCTAAGAGGGAAAGTCTTATCATGACATGAAAGCAGGTCCATCAATAACTTATCAATAGTTTTCTAATGTTAAAAATAGAAAAGCCTATATTTTATCTCAATATATTTTTTTAGAAAAAGAAAAGCCAAGACACTTTACTGAAGTTTTAAATGACTGAATAAAACTTCAATTTGACCTTTCTGTGAGTAAAAGTTCAAATGCAAATCTGTTTACTGGCTGATCAGTAAATACACATCATTACTTTTATGTGCTTCTCCATGGTGCCCCAATTCTGTTTTCAACGGAAGCGCTGACCCTATCCCTAGTGCAGTCTGCAGCACCATAGCTGGGGGTTCTCCAAGTAAGCCGGGTTTCTATAAAAGAAGGAAAATATAAATTAGATTTTCCACCCATGGCAGTAAGACATAACATAATAAAAAGGGTATACATTCATAACCAATCTATTCAAAAGCCTTATTATAGGAAAGGAATGAATTCATTTTCAAAAGAAAAAAGACTACTATACTTACATTATTAGTATGGATATTCTCAAACTTCATTAATTGCTGCTGTGTCAATGGTACATGAGAAAGATTCTGAAGGAATAAATTACAAGTATTATCCATAACTGAAGTCTGTGAAAATGATGAAACAATAAGTTAGCTTAATTTTGAAAAAGTTACTTCTTGTATAACCCAATTCACTTTAAAGTTCACTTCTACAGTTGAGCTAAGCAAATGCAACCTTTTTCTTTTCTTTTCTCATTTTTTTATTTTAATATCTCATTTTCCAACTTCAGGCAATGCTAATTACTTCCTTTAATATACAGAAATGTGACCATGTACTCCTGAGGCTAATCCTACAGCCATTCTTTCTTTTCTCTCTTCTTTCCTCTCCTCCTCTTATCCCTTTCTGGCTTCAGTGACAGTGTCATTATCTTTAGTCACTTTATATATTCACTTAATCATTCAACAATATTTATTGAGCATTTTCTGTGTGAAGCAAGCTATGTAGTTATAAATACAGCAGTATGTTCTGTGCTCATGGATCTTATAGTCTCCTGGGGGTGGGAGGCATTAATTAATTATAAAAACATATATAATTACAAGTGGTGAGAGGGATATGAAGGAAATATACAAGGAACTACGAAAACAAAGAGTGAGGGGAATTGGTTTAGACTGGAAAGGTCAAGAAAAGCTTTTTTGTGGACCCAATTCTTAAACTGAGATGTGAAGGCTGAATAGGAAGATGGAGGAAAAGATTGGGTGAATTAGGTGGCTTTGGGATGAGAAGCATCCTATGCAGAAGAATAGCAGGAGCAAAGACCTGAGGAGGAAGGAGGGAACAAGGTCACAGTTCAAGGACCATAAGCAGGTCACTATAGCTGAGAACAGTGATGAGCAATTAGCTTGAGAGGTAGGAGCTAGATTGTACAGGGACTTAAAGACAAAATTAAACATTTTTGGTCTTTATCTTAAAACAATGGGAATATGCTCAATGCTCTGACCTCCCCTCTCACATACTCTTCACACCTATTGTAATTAATTGTTTGATGTTTGTTTTCATTATTGGTTGAATTTTGATAAGAATAGGGGTAATGAATGTTTCCTTTAATAATAGCCTTAATGCTTAGCAAAGTGTCTAGTATATGTTAGGTTCAAAATAAAAGATATAGACTCAATAAATGAATAAAGATTCTATAATGTACCAGGTCTTTGTGTAAGATGCTAAGTATTAAAAAAGAAAGAAAGAAAGAAAGAGATAGGTCTTTTCCTTATAAAGCTAGATTTAGTCCCAGATATTCATTTATTCAACCTAAGTTAAGTACCCATTACATATTAGTTTTGATTTTGTTCTTAGGATTCTGTATAGATGCAGCCTTAAACAGACTCTGAAATTATTAAGTAGTATATCTCCGATATTATGGGACCTCTGGTGGGGAGCTCTGGTAGCATAGTGCCTAAGGCACTTGACTGCTAACCAGAAGGCTGGTGGTTCAAACCCACCAGCAACTCCTCAGAAAGAAAGTTGGGTAATCTACTTCCATAGTGATACCAACTTGGAAACCCAAGGAGGGGTCGCTATGAGTCGGGTCTCACTCAATGGTATATAACAACAACAACAACTGGCATTTGACTGCTAAGCAAAAGGCTGATGGTTCAAACCCACGAGCCACTCCTTGGAAGGATGATTGGGCAATCTACTTCACTAGAGATCCTGCCTCAGAAAACCAAGGAGGGGTCGATAACACATTTAAAAAATAGTTATCTGATAAAGGTAAGAAAAACATTTATTACTCTCCTAAATAGATGAATTATTTTTATAACATTGATATCATTTCCAGAATTAAGAATTACTGTTCATTCATTTATTTTTTCTTTCTGTACATACTTTTCAAAATAAGACCACATAAATAGCCTTGTTTTGATCTACCAATTCATCTCTAAAAAAACAAATACCGCAAAATATAACATAATATATACCTTTCCCTATGAATAGCCTATAATTAGGAATCAATAAATACATATACAGCTATGTTACCTTGATTAGCTTAATTTGATCTGATGTACTCGTTATTTTTTATGTAGCTATCTTTTTACTAAGGTTTCTTGGGTTTTTTTTTTCCCAAAAAAGAAACAAAATACTCATCTGATGTCTGGAGCACTTTAAATGTTAAGAACAAACAAAGCATTCCCTCCAAATTGTTCATGCTTCAGTACTTGATGCTGTTTAGGTACCTGGTGTGCTTTATTCAAATGTAAAAATGCAGGGGAGATGGATGGATTCATCAGATGTGGCAAGCTGTGAGGTGTTCCAAGAACTGCTTTAAGAAAATAAAAGTAGAATTTTAACTTTATGATATACATGGAATTTGAAAAAAATGAAACAAGATTCAAAAAGGGTAAATTACTATTTCTCTAAACTTCAAACAAATTCACAGGAAGTTCAGTGACATACTGACCTTGTCATTGGTCAAAAAATGGCTGGCTCATTTCCTTGTGATTCAACTCTGGAATTTGTTTTAAAATTCCAACACCTTCTGCTATAATGGTAAAATACTGAGCCAAGGCTTACTCCTTTCTAGGGCAGAATGCAACAAAACTGAGCTCATCTTTTAATAAGTATAGCACTGATTGAACCCAGGCTAATTTTTTTAAATGTTTGCAGAATTTTGGCGGGGGAAAAGAGATAAAATACTATCTCTGTTTTTGAAAAGTTTACAATCCAGTTGAGAAGAAATTCTACATAAAATAATTAAAAAAAAAAAACTTTATATAGTTGACAAAAGGAATAAATGGCATATTCTTAAACAAATTTATCTGAAAGTCCAGATATCAGAGCACATTTCAGAAGAGATGTTTTCAGAGCAGTTAATACATATAGAAAGGAAGCACCGTGAGTTAGAAAATATATGAAGCCGTTTCATCTAATTATTATGAAGTAGATGGGAAGAGACAAAATATACAAATTTCTCTAGCAATATCCAACAGCTAATTAGAATGATAGAATATTGGACTTATAAAATACTGCCAAAAGCAAATGATCTAATGATCACAAACATTTGAAATTTATATATACTATCCCTACATGTTCAACCGTGCTTCAAAAATTGTATTTCAAGGAATTTATTACTTGTGAAGGCAGTCTATTAGGAGCTCTGGTGGTGTAGTGCCTAAGGTATTTGACTGCTAACCAGAAGACTGGTGGTACTAACCCACCAGCTACTCCTCAGAAGGAAAACTGGGCAGGTTCTAACCCACCAGCTACTCCTCAGAAGGAAAACTGGGCAATCTACGTCCATAGAGATACTGCCTTGGAAACCCAAGGAAGGGTTGCTGAGTTGAAATTGACTCAATGGCAGGAAATTTTTTTATTTTTATTTTTTGGAATGCAGTCTATTACATCTTTGGAAAACTGACTCTTAGAAAGGGTTTTTTAAAGAATGAAACAAAATTTCATTATAAATGATAAGAATGATTATATCATTAGGAAGAGTAACTTATTAGGGAACCAAAAACCAAACCAGTTGCTGTTGATTTGACTTTCAACTGATGGGAACCCTGTGTACATCACAGGAGAACTGTGCTCCACTGGGTTTTCAACAGCTGTGACCTTTCAGAAGTACATCACCTGGCTTTTCTTCCGATCTCCTCTGGATGGACTCAAACCACCAAATTTGGTTAACGGCAGTGCTCTTAACCATTTCTGTCACCCAGGAAAAGGCACTGTTTTACTTGTTTTTTTCCAAAAAAAAATTTGGATTTGAAGTACAAAGAATGGGAGCTTTTAAGATGCATACATTCCTGATTACAATAGTAACAATATAAAGTAAGACATCTACATTACAAAGCCCTAGATTTATCATCTATGCAAGATGAATGAAAATCTCTTCCTCTAAAATATTGTGGGAACCACAAGTAAGAGATTCCAAGATGATATTATTTTTTAAGTGACATTATTATATTAAAGTCACCGATTATTGATAGAGCAACCAGTTGTTGTTGCTGTTGTTGTTGTTGTTATGTGCCATTGAGTCAGACCTGACTCATAGCGACCCCTCCTTGGGTTTCCGAGGCAGTATCACTACAGAAGCAGAGCAACCAGTACTACTACTATAAGCACGAGAAAAGGGATTTCCAAGATAACCTAAAATACCAACTGGAAATTTAAAATACCTTTTTATGCTAACATTAATTAAAAGAAAACTTTTCAGAACAAAAATCAAGAATAAAGACAAATGACCATCTTCATTCCTGATAATATTGTTTGTTCTAAAATTTCATAATGAGAAAGGGATTGTTAAATAACAAAACACTTAAAGCAAAAACTGAGAGAACTGAAAGGAAAAGCAGACAAATCCATAATTGTGGTTAGACATTTCAACACCTCAGTCTCTTTTTCAGGTAGTCACTATATTTGCGGTAAAACACTGAAATAAGTATTTTTCACAGCTTTAACTGGACACAATATTGCCCCATTTAAAACAACAAAAACCAGAAACAGCCCACTCCAAAAATGTCCACAGCTAACTGCCCTTAACCTACTGCTAGTTCTCCTGTTGTGCCTCATCGCTAGTAACTGATAGAATAAGTTGACAGAAAATCATTAAGGGTATAGAAGGGTATTGAACAAGAGGATCAACCAATATAATCTAATTGACATTTATAAAATACTTCACCCAACAAAAGGATACATTCTTTTTAAGTGCACATGGAATATTTACCAAAATAGAATATATTCTGGGCCATGAAACAAGTCTAAATAAATTTAAAAGAGGTTAAATCATATTAAAAAAGTATATTGCTGACAACAGTTGAATTAAGTTATAAATTAATAACCAAATAATATATGGAAAAAAATCTTAAACATTTAGAACCTAAATAACACAATAGTAAATCATGCATGCATCAAAGAAAAAAATAAAACAAAGAATACCAAGTATTTTGCACAGAATGAAAATGAAAACATGATATGTCAAAATCTGTTTAGAAGAAAATATGACATCTACATTAGAAAAGAAGAAAAATCTCAAGTGCATAATCTAGTTTTATCTTAAGAAAGCAGAAAAAGCACAACAAATTAAACTCAAAGCAGAATAAAAAAGATAGTAAAAATCAAGGTGCAAATCAATTAAATACAAAATAGTAAACAAATAGAGAAAACCAATGTAATCAAAAGCTGGTTCTTTAAGATCAATAAAATTGATAACTCTCTAGCCAGACTGTTCAGAAAAATATATTCCAATACTGGGAATGGGCAATCCTACTTCCGTAGTGATACTGCCTCGGAAACCCAAGGAGGGGTCGCTATGAGTCGGGGTTGACTTGACGGCACATAACAACAACAACAACAACAATATTGGGAATATGAGAGGAGACAGAACTACAGATTCTACAGACATTAACAAATATATAAGGAAATATATTATGAGTAGTATTATGCCAATAAATTTGACAACTTACACAAAATGGACAATTTCCTTCAAAGACACAAACTTCAAAGCTCACTTAAGAAATAGATACCCCGAATAGTTCTCATATATTAAAGACATTGAGTTTGTACTTAGAAAGCTTCCTATAGATAAAATTTAAGACACAGATGATGTCATTGTTAACTTCTACCAAACAAATAAAGAAGAAATACTATCAACTGTGCAAAAATTATCCTGAAAATTGAAGAGGAGGGGCTATTTCCCAAATCATTCTATAAGGGCAGCATTATCCTGATACTCAAAACAGGAATGACATTACAAAAAAAGAAAACTACGACAAATTATTAATATACACAGAAAAAATCCTAAACTAAATTTCACTAAATCAAATCCAATATATAAAAAAGATTATAATACATCATGATCAAGTAAGATTAACTCAAGGAATGAAAAGTTCTTCAACTTTTCATCAAAATATTAAACAACATTATAGCCATTATATTAATAAACCAAGAAGAAAATGTTCCATAAATTCCAGAATTCATAATACAATTTCTCAGCAATGTAGGAATAGAAGGGAAAGTCCTCAGCTTGATAAAAGAAATCTGTGAAAAAGAGCAATAGCTAACATATTTAATAATGAAAGAATATACACTTTCTCCTTAAGATCAGAAAAAGGCAAGGCTATCTTCTCTTGCCATTTGTATAAACAACTGTACTGAAATTTCTTTCTATTGCAATAAAGCAAGAGAAAGAAATAAAAGATTTACATATTAGAAGGGATAACGTAAAACTGTTTATTTGTAGATTACATAATCACCAATATAGAAAAGTTACAAAAAGTTACTAGAAATAAGAAATGAGTTTAGCAATGTTGCTGAATACAAAAATCAATTGTACTAGATACCAAAAATAAGCTACAGAAAATTAAAATTAAAAACCAGTATTATGTAAAACAGCATCAAGAAAACTGAAATACTATAAATTTACCAAAAAAAATGTGATATACATACACTGTAAACTGTAAAGTATTGCTGGATAAATTAAAGACCTACATTAATGGAGAAATATACCATGTTTATAGATCAGAAGACCCAAGATTATTATCAAATCTGCCATAATTAGTACATAGATTTGCCAAAATTCCAATAAAAATTTCATCAGGCATTTATCATATAAATGATGGCTGACTTAAAATTTATAAATTTAGAAGCACCTAGAACAGACAAAACGAGTCTGAAACAGAAGAATAAAGTTAGAGGACTTACACTCCTTGATTTCAGGACTTTTTATAAAGCTACACTTATCAAACAGTACGTCACTCATATAAAGACAGACATTTACATCAATGAAACATATTAGAGAGCCTAGAAATAGTCCAAATATATATGCTCAACAGATTTTTTACAAAGGTGCCAAGAAATTCATTGGAAAAGAATACCCTTTTTAATAAATGATGCTAGAACAACTGTATTACTCTATGTAAAAAAGAAAGAAAGAAAGAACCAGGACGCTTACATAAACAAAAATGAAATCAAAATGGATCTCAGCCTAAATGCAAAAGTTAAATGATAAAACTTCTGGAAGACAACATATGAGAAAAGAAGAAATAAAATAATATTGGGGAGGGGGCACTAAAGACATTCCAGAGTCCAAATGTATAGATAATACTTTCTCAAAATGTGGTATACTCCTTTAGACATTAATACAACCCATATTATTAATAGGAATATAATAATCATGGGAAGGAAATCCCTCTGCATTTTGTGTTTATCAGAAACCATTTATAGCTATGATTTTATCTGTGTACACTATATTAGCACAACACAGAAAATCTAGACCATATCCATAAGGTAACACTGTGGGGAGGAGACACTACAAAGTATATTCTG